CTATATCAATTTCTTACCAAACACAACAAAGTTAACAACCCAACAAAATTCTAACTAAACTTCATCACAAACCTTAACAACTTTCTGTTCATTACTTTCCTAACCACTTCCCTAGTAAAAACTTTCCAAGTAAAGTGGTGCTCTAACCAAACAAGCCTTAAAAGTCTTGTTTGAGTTACGATCAAGGGTTCAAACCCTTATAATTGTTAAGAAAAATCCTTTTTAGCTACTATTTTTTTGGTCCTTATAATAATAATAATTGTAATTTCATTTAGCACCCACAAAATTTTAGTTGAGTTAATACCCACCAACCACTAACTATAAAAATCTTAAGATCAAGGTTTCAAACCCTTCTAATTGCTTTAAAAAAAAAAAAATTAAAATCTTTTGAACTGCTATTTTTCTGGTCCCTATAACAATAACAACAATAACAATAATAATAATTATGTCTTTTTACAAGCAACAACAGCAACTAACTGTCAATAAAACAGTAAACACTGCTATATAACACTAGAGCAACCTCAACTCAATTGCCAGTCTGCCATTAGTTAGCTAATTGCAACCAGATATCAGCTGACTGCAAACACCTAACCAAACAGAACAAGATAAGAAAAAGCATGTAAAAGGAAAATAGACCATTGCCAGAACCAAACACTCATGTTTTCCTTTGCAAATAAAGAAGGAAAGCTTATTGTTGAGACTCATGTTAAAGGAAGCACAATCTTTACTTCCAGCTGCAGAAAAAACTGACCATTGCCAAGAGCAAACACCCTGGTAGTAATAGCGGCACACCCAGCATAAGCCTTCAATGTATTTTAAAACCTGGAGGAATGTGTAGCTGTCAGGTACAATGTTTTGTACGAAGCCAGGGGATTGGGATAGAAAAAAATTTTGAAATCAATACTACACACTGAGAAAATGCAATCATGTGAACCACCACATGGAGGGAAAAAAAATGACCACCCTGGCAACTTTGAAAAGTAAGTGAACTTACAACATCTTTTTTAACTTCTTCAATGTCTTCTGGATTGGACAGGTCAAATTTCTCAGCATAGTATCTTTCTTTGTATCCTGGCTCCCCTAGTTTAATCTGAGGGGAAAAAAAAAAGAGAGAGCAGATATTAATACAATTCAATATTTCAAGTGTGAATTCTAGCTGCTGGCAACATGCAGCTCTTGGCAAAAATTAATTTCGGTTCCAGCTCCAGAAATTAATACTTTATCAAACATTTAAGTGTCACTTCTCCAAGTTTATCAGAATGGAATGGTGATGGACATCATGATGCAATGCAACCAATTGCACATTCCATTCAGATGGATATCAAAAGAGTTAATAAACAATAATACTCAGAAACACTGTGATATCAAATTATAGCACAAAAGATCCACTTATTCCTACCATCTCAGAGAAAGAGAACCATGCATGGATAAAGGATTACCAAGTTTACAAGCTGACCAGGAACTTTAAACAAGTTTACCAATTCTGTATCTAAATCAAATTATAAAAGCTTCCACTCTGATTAAGATATTTAAAACCATTTTCAATTTCAGAGTAATGCTTAAGAATAGTGCCACAGGCTTGTGACAAAAGCATTACTAGCACTTTGTTTGACACACAAAACAAGCAGCCCAATCAGTTGGCAGATTCAGGACCTATCAGGTCACTCTATTCACTTGTCTATCTCAACTCTGATGAAAGAACATAGTTATATCACAGACCTTATCTTGGATAGGGACTGGTGGCTCTTCAGATGCCTCTGCCTTTGCTTTAAGTTTCATTTGCTCATTATTCTCAATTGCCTGAAGTGATCAACAGTTTAAGTGAAACAATTTTATTAGCACTACGAGAACTCAAAAAGATAGAAGTACAAATCATAAATTGAAGAAAAGCCAAAACTCCAATAACCTCCTCACCTCCCAAAACCACCACCACCACCACCACCAAACAAAGCATAAAGGAAAGGATCTCAACATTGAAATGGAAAGCAAATGATAAACTACAAGTTTAGCCTCAAGCAAGCAAGGCTGTTGGCCCACCCTATTGGGGTCACAGTGCAGCAGCAGCCTGGATAAAATTTTGCATTTAAAAATTTTGCACAAAGCAACCATACACACAACTATTCAGCAGAAATTTCTGCTCGACCCTCCCCTATGTGTCAACGAATATTTGTTTGTGTGTGTGACTGCATTCATATATACTAGTATTCAGTCAGCAGAAATTTTCCTACTATTTAATTCTATCTACAGTCAGCTACTTCTTATAACCCATTCAATGGGGCATTCACATTGACAACCTCCTACACTAATAGTGAATACCTTACTAGTAGACCTAATAACCAATGGGATAAACATATACTTTAGATAGCATTTGATTTATGTATAATCCCTAACCAAAATCGCAACAATAAATGTGACCTCTAATTGATGTCTTTGATGATTGAAATCAATCAATTGGGATTGGCCTTATTGGTAAGGAGTGATTTGAACTATGCTAGGGAAACATAGGTTCAAATCCTTCCCTCCCTATTTCTCTACAAACAATTCCAAAAGGCCAAGGACTGCTACCCTTGGGTGGAGATTTGTATTGCACCTGTGGATAGGGCGGTTTATAGGCATCTATGTGATTAGTCAGGTGTATATATTAATAACTGAAACCATGATGCATAATCAACCTTTGAAATACATTATGATACAGGAAAAATGTGAATGAATAATGAGATCAGAATTTCAACAGTCAAACAGACAAGATATAAAAATTATGTACCAAAACATGGAGGGAGCACCATACCTGCTGTATACGAGTCCTTTTCTGAAAGATTTGATCTTCATAAACTGCAACAGACTGGATAAAATGCTCCACTCTATCTAACACTACCTGAAAATGAACCAGCACATTCAGGAGGAAAGCAATGATGCTAACCTTAAAACAATTTGTTTCAGAAAATATGATGGAAAGAATGCTGTGCAATGTTTGAGAAAGCTATGAAGCAACAAACAAAGGTTTTAGAACTAGGATACCACATCATATTCTAATAAGGATTTAGTAGACATGTAGAACAAAGAAAAATTACCTCACCCGCATCAGTAAGATAACCACCCATAGCAGCAAATTCACTTCTATAAACTTGCATCAGTAGAGTTATGGCACCCTGCAGAAGTAGAAAAGGTGAATCATACACATGATAACATAGATCACACAGAAAATCAGTAAATATGATTATGAAACTACTAACAACATTTACATACCTCCCTGATTTCCAATGTTGGCATATGCGGAAGGAAGTCATTGCCAACAAAGAAACATAGAAAAACAAAATCATCCACTATCTTTTCAAAGTTAATCTCAAATGGAGGATTGGGAATCTCCAAATCATATTGCAAATATTCTCGCAACACCCATAGGTTTAGGAACTGTAAAAGAACAATTAATTAAACAAAGTACCAAGAAGGAAAAGGAAAAGGTAAAACTAAATTACATTAATTGAACACGGGTCTAACTTTTCAACCTGATATTTCTTCTTGTGAACTGGAGTGTTATCTACAGCATTCCCATCTCCTGTTCGATCATCTGGCTTACCAAGGCACTCTGCTGCAAAATGACCAACTTGGCCACAAAGAAAACATTTTTCTTGTTGTCCAGGAAGAGTGATCACCTGTATTTAAAGTAGACAAATTATTGATACAACAAAGGCAAGAAACTGTTTAGAAATTATAACCAACAATAGCATCAGTAGGTAAGTGACATACCTCTCTTAATATTGAAAAGTGAACCTCGTGTGTAGCTAAAGACAACATGATCAAATCAGCATCCTGATTATAAAGATATGCATAAATTAGGAAATTATTAAGTCAAAATGCAATTGACCAACAATAAGGAAATGTTGAGATGTACTCTTACCAGACCATACAGACAATGTTGAGTGTTTGGATTGAAACCAGGAAGGTTACGTTGTGACCGAATAAATGACATGATCTTGTGTTCTCCCTCACCAGGAACATTTGAATCAGAAAGAATAACCTTCAAATAAGCATCCAATGTAGCCCCATAAATAAATTTAAGAGAGACAAAGTATCCTGCTGAAAGCCAGATTGTGTTGGAAAATGATATAGGAAGGATTACTCCACTGGCAAGGAATCATCCTATCTTTGGAGAGTTAATGGTGAAAAAGGAAAGATTACCACACCTTGGTACTCCGCCAGCCAGGATTGTTGTTCAATCTAGTTTGTATGTAATACTGAAGCGCTACAGATAGCACTGCCATAAATTCAGTGCCAGGCGTGATGACATTTGAGTCACACGTTTCAGGCTTTTCCTTAATAGACAACTTTTTTCCCTCAGCCTCAAACTCTTTTCTCAATCTCTCCTCTTCAGCTTCCTATTATAATATTAAATTAAATTAATAAAATTAAGTCTGCTTCATCTGATTATTTAGATCCATTAAATAATGTCATCAACAGACTTACAGCCTCAGCAACATCCTTTGCAGCTCTATAGCGCCGAGAGCGTTGCTGATTCATTTTAGCTCTGGGTGCAACACCATCTAAAAATTTTTGAAGAAGAATTTAACTAAAAAATTAAATAAACAACTAAAATAAGAAAAGATTTGAAAAAATGGAAACAAGCTACCAATTGCCATGTAAAGAAGCTTCCTTGGACGAACCAACGAAAAGACATGGTCAGTGTAGTCAAATATTGATCTAAATACATCATCATAGGTGGCAGGTGCAGGCTGCATGAAATGAAAAGAATTAATTGGGGAAAATAAATACAGCAATGAATCAGTTAACGTCCTCAAATGCAGATATAACATCATGGAGTATGCCCGTATAGCGAAAAAGGTTCTAATCATGCTAAAATGGAAAATAAAAGCAGTCCTTCATGATTTTTGGTAATGCACACAAAATCCTGCAAAAAATAGATGATGTGTACAGGGAACTTCTTAATTTTTCTTTTTTGAACCACAGGCTACTTCTCAATAGTTGACAGAGAATAACAGTTATTAATGACCATAACACAAGCCCCCATATAATGCAAAAATAATCCTAATATCAATCTTTCCTTTCTTACCCATATGAACTGCTAATGCTAATGTTACCTAATGAGACTTACTAAAGTTAAAAGAAATTTCAACATATTATCTACAGCACTCATGACCATTTTCTCAATCTGTCTCTGCCTCTGTCTCTGCCTCTCCCTCTCTCCTCTCCTTCTACTGCACTCATGACTGTTTTCTCAATTTCAACATATTATCCATAGAACTCATGCTAATATCAACTAATTTTTTTCTTAATCTTCCCTTTCCTTCTCTCACACACACAAACCCCCACCCTCATCCTATGATTAACTATCAGTTTTCTAGAAAAGAGCTACCACTAACAAATTCAAAGTTCAAAAAACTTATTTATTTTATCTAAAACAAGTACTGCACCACTTATTTCCAATCTTTTACGTGTCTCTAAAAGCAAAATCAATAGTTACTTACTCTATCTCGCCTCTCCTCAGGATATCAAATGAGTACCAGTCTATCTATCCTCAGCTCATTACAAACATTTCAAAAAACAGAAAATCATAAACTGCAAATTTCAGCTACTTCTCTTCAAACATGAATAACTGCAATGCTAAAATCAAAAGTTGAAAATTATTACGAACTGTAAATATCGGCATTCACCTTGCCCTCGGGGTGAAAACAGGGGTGAATTATTCCATTCATGTCGAGATACAAATTATCGAATTCGATACCGTTCGGATTAGGTTTAGAGACGTCGACTGGTATCACGTTCCCACTCACGTCTTCTTTTGGCTCCTCCTCGATAACGTCAACGATTGACTGTGGATACCGATCCGCTAGCCACCTGTAGAACGCGGGGACTCCCATGGTGGTGGTGTGGTAGTGGTGGTTGTGGTCCGATCCGGTGAAGTGCAGAGGTTGTACGGGTAGAGGAGGCGCGGCGGTGCTGGGGCACTGATTTATCGGAGGAGGGGGAGAGAGTTCGAGATCTGCGTGGGTGTGGCGGTGCGGGGGAACGGAATTACCGTAGTTGGGCACTTTTAGTGTGTATGGACGAAAATGCCCTTCGGAGTTGGTGCACAGATATTAATGGTGGCGATTGGGCGTGTTTGGTTTGAGGCCGAGGAGTTATTCCGGGTGGAGATATGGATATCGTGCTCTTATTTCAAGGGCGCTAATGACCTTTTAAATTGGGTGCAAAGTGCAATGATACGGATGTCAATTAGAAGCTTGGGATTAACATTAGTTGTTAAACTTTTCCTAATTTTGAAAAATGTATAGATAGAAATATAAATTTTTTTATTTTTTATTTAAAAATATAAATTTTATTGGTATTTAAATAAGATAGTAAGTTTTTTTATTTAAAATTTAATAAAACAATGATATTGATGTATCAAATGATTTTTTTAATCATTTAATTAATTTTTAAATAGAAAACATTTAAAATTAACATTTTTAAAATTAAAAAAATAAGAAGTTAGTATTTTTAAATAAGAAAAATTGAAAATCTACTAATTTATTTAAAAAACAAGAAAGTTTACATCATTAAATAAAAAAATAAAATTTGTATATTTTTATATGTATCTTTTCTCAAAATTTATTGATATAAAAATTATGTTATTATATAATAATATAATAATTACTTTCAAATTATTATTAAATTATATGAAATATTAATTAAAATTAATTTAATAATAATAAGTTAAAACTTTTAAAGAAACGTGTGATAAAACGTTATGAAACTACAATTTTAAATGTGCAATAAATTTTGTAATTTTTAAACTTTAAAATGATTATTAAATTATATTAAATATACTTAAAATTAATTTAATCATAATAAATTTTTTTTTGTGAGAAGGGAAGAATAATTAAAAATTAGTATCTATTTAATAAACAAAAAATTCGAATATGAGTGAACTTCACTTACTATTTATAAAAGAGCACAGTCCAATTAGTAAGCAGCATGGAGAGTTCTAATAAATATTACTTTTAAATAATACAAAACATGACCTTTAAATAGATGTTTGATAGCACTTAGGTTTTTGGGTTTAGTGGCGTCAAATTACATATAAGTGTATTCTCTTATCCTTAAGGCAATGATTTGCAGTGGCATCAAGTCACATATAAGTGTATTCTCCTATTCTTGGGGCAACGGTTTGTATCTGATTCTTGCGATTTTGTTAAAAAAAGAAAAAAAAAAAAAATGATGTTCGATAAAACGTTGTGAGACCGTAATTTTAAACGCAATCAAAGTCTCTCTTGCAATAAATTTTGTTATGCGGTCAACTTGGTTTTCTAAGTAAAAGAAAGACATTTCAAAATCTTTTTCGTTGAAGATTTATAAAATAAATAAATGAGAGAATTTTTTATGGAAGAAGGAGGAAATTGTTACGACTGTCATCATAGCTACTCAAACCTTGACCAAGACCAAGGTTATCTTATACTTTTGCCAACCCATTTGGAGCAAAAAGTGCTTTTATTGAAGATTTGAGTTATGATGACACATATTTATAGATATTTCACTACCTTCAATATGATATATTAATATGAAATATGGTTATAATCATATATTATTTTGTTAAAATTATATAGATATTATTTAATTTGATTAATATTTTATTAGTTTGTATTTTTTTTAAATACTTAATTATGATATTTGAAAATAATATCTTATAAATTGATTTTAATTTGTTAAGTAATAAATATTAATTATTTTATCAATTATCAACTATTTTTAACTACTGAATTAAACAAAATTAATATTTTCAAAGTCATTATTTTGTGGCCTTAACATTGGATTGTATGGCATAACCACACCCATCAATATGATGTTATAGGTTTTTTTAAACTTTTATTTTCATTGGTTTAAAATTATCATTATTAACATGAATTACAATATCATATCATAAATGTCACATGATATAGTCAAAGTTTTTTATTTTTGACATCCTACCCTAAAGAAAGGCATCTCATCTCTATCCTTAAGATGGATGCAAAGATCTCACAAGGCATCATATCTTGTGAAAATTATTTTTTTTTCTCTCTATTAAACTTTTTTAAAATGAAAGTTAGGGTAAGAAGGGGTTATTCGAATTCAAAATAAATGCATATTACCATGTTCATTATATATATGATGAAATTATTTAGTTTTCATTATATAAAATTCAAAGTGAGGCAAAACAAGTATGGTGTGTGCTTTGTCAAGTTAACATTTCTATGTAACAATAATTTATTTATATAACATAATAACAATAAAATTCTTGTGTTTAAGATTAAGAATAAGATCCCTTTCATGCTTGAAAGGTTTTAGGATAAGTGTCTCTTTTGTGCGGTAGCATCTAATAGTTTCTTTATATCTAGGGTTTTCTCTTATTCTTTTCTCTTTGTTTTGGTTTAATGCATCACTATTATAATTTTGTTGTTGTATGGTGTCAAGAATTTTTATGTTGGTTGGATTGTTGGTTCTTTTAAATCCTTTTCATTTGTCAAGAGGGAGGGTGTTTTGGTGATCTATACTTTTTAGGGTGCGGTACAAAAGGCAAGGTTGTGATGTTGCAATGGTTTAACATGGTAGTAGAGGGTGGCAGTGTGATACAGGGTGATTGGGTGTAGGGCTAGCAGCAAGTGTTAAGAAATGTTAAATAACAGAAGAATAAAAAAATCGTTATGAGGCGTGATCTCATTTTTTTTAAGGATTTAAAATGCTCCAGATACAACAGAACTCAAAACTTTTTCAGAATTAGATGTAGAACTCTAACATTACATAAGAATTTATAATATCTGAAAAGTCACTATTTGAAGGGATATATCTCTCCAAAAGACATCATTTCATAGAGGTACTTTTTGACTGCTAATAGTCATGTCTAATTTTCAAACATGTTTTTTCAAATTATAATTTAATAAAATAAAATAAAAAATCTAAAAATAATAAAAAAAATTAAAAATATTCTAGCAGTCAAGCCCCAAAGTGCCCATATTTTGATTATATATAAAGGGTCAAGACCCAATTTTCATTAGATTTCACTTTACTTAATTATCTGTTAATAAATAATAGGCATTTATAAACTTTTTTAAATTCTTATACTTTATTGACGTGAGATCTCAAACATTTACAAACTATTTAACAGCAAGTTTCCCATGGAGGCCAGATATGCGATAGTCTTCGCTTAGTAATGTGGTATTGGCGATGGCATACGAGACTAACAAAGGGGTTGTGGAGTAGAGGCGAAGGCCAATGATTTGTGTATGAGGGGTTGGCATCGATGGGAGAGGGCAAGAAAGCAATTGGTTAATCAATAGCTAAGCACCTTGGGCTTGTTGACGACCTGCAACGACGTTTGTGACGAAAGTATTTTGTGATGATATCCCAAAATTTTTGGAATGAGGTTACCTATCTAATTGGTAAAATAAAAAATTGGAGAGTATGGCACAATTTTCGAATAGAATTAGTGTGTTTTTTTTTTTTTGAACAGTTTTGTCATGGGTGGGTTCGAAACCTGCTCAGGGAAAAGAGATGTACACTTTTCAGTGGCTCTAGTTACTGGACCACACGGGCTAAGTGCGAATTAGTGTGTTTGATGAGGATGGATGTTAAAAAATATATATATATAGATAAATTTAATAAAATAACCAATAGAATAACTAAAAAATACATTTTTCATGGTTTAGGAAAAAAACAGTGCAAAAAATACTTAAAGACTAAATATTTAGAATTAAAAGTTTAAAAATAAAATTGATATTTAACCTTAAAATAATTAAAGCCCAATGTAATGGGATGTCCATGTTTCCGATGGAAGGAAAAGTTATGGGGGTTCAATTTGTTAATTCATGAAACTTCAAGGGCTCAAATCAGAAATCAGAAATCTGTTACCAATTTCTTATTCGCCAATCACAAAACCCAAAATTTTTTTTCTATTCCCTGCATTTCTCAGTTGGAATTTTCTTGTCCTTTCCTTTTTCCCAAACACCTTGTTCAACAAATTTTCTCATCTCGGTTTTCCTCCACTTGAGACATGGATTCGAATGCAATTTTGTAAGAAATTATTTGATTTTCTCCCCAAAATCCAACTTCCATCGCACACATTTTCTTGATTTAATTTTCTTCCTTCCAAACACCAATTCTTTAGATGGATTGGATACTCCAAGCAATTCAAGAATCTAAAGAGGCACTCGACTCCATGTTCGTCCGATTACTGCTAGATGCTCCGAAAGACGCCCCACTCGAGAGGTTGATGGCGATAACGGTGCACTACTTCATCATGCAACCTCTAACTAGATAGCAAAAACCGTTTGTTTGGATGGAATGAAAGGTGCTTGATTCTTCTTAAATAAAATATCAAATTTAACTTTTTTAAGTAAAAAAACAAACATTAAGAGAGTTTCTCTTTATATGATTCGACGTGACTAAACTATGATATACTTGGGTACCATGTAACTTCCCAAAAAAAAAAAAATGCAAACTTCTGACCAGGTACTGGAGAGAGTTGGGACTGAAGAAGGCTATACTGAATGAGCTTTAGAAAGAATCACTGTTAGAGGCCCAATAAGTTCAGAAACAGGGGAATCCCTCAATTCATGAATCAACCTGTGATCAGAGTTCTTGCATGGGCTCGACTGATGCTAATTAATTTCACTTTCGGAACGAAAAACTTAAGCTGTGAACCTTAAGTAATCAACTGTTTATAAGTTAAGGTTTATCGTAAAATATACACTATTCTGTTAAATTTAATTTTCCGAGTATAATTTATAGTTTGGTATGCATGCAGAAATCTTGGTCAGCAGAAATTTCCCCTGTTTTAGATAGTAGTAATTTCCTCATAAAATATATTATGTATAGCTTAATTGGAGAGTTTTTTGTGCTTTTGTTCATTAATTTAACAACAAACATAAATAAATAATAATTCAAGCACCAATAAAATGTTAGTCCAACTAAAAAGAACTCTGTTTTCATAAAATTGCAAATGTAAGTTTTATAAATGAAAAAATAGATATCGAAAAAGTTTTTCTCTTATTTTTATGAAATCTGAGTAAACTCAACTCAAGATTAATTAAAAGTTCAATATAACTTTTGAATATTTGGAGATTAGTATAAAAAAAAAATCCAGGTATGCACCAAATTAATAGTACTTGGATATATTGCTGATTTTTTTATCATTTTATTGAAAAAGCTTTGCTTAGAGTATCATCAATTAACCGCTGCAATCTCTTTTCAAACACAGGCAAACATGCAATGTTGGATAACAGAAAGTACAAGGGCGTATTTGTTGGCATTCAGCATCACTTCCGCAGCAAGGTGGCCTGAAAATTTCTGGACTTCGGGTTTCAGCTTGTTGCACGCTTGAGAAAAGCACACCTACACAATAAATCAAATTATGAATGCATTTGCTTCAAAATTCTATAATATTAATTAAGTAGTCAACTTTTAAATAAATGTGCATTAGTATACATAGTGTAAATTTCTAAATTAGAGGAATGTCCCGTTGAGACGAAGAGAAAAAGATGTACACTAACCGAATGTGAGCAGGATAGTGAAGAAAATTGCAACCATCATTGAGGCCTCCATGTTTATTATGTTTGTATGAGTGATGTGAATGTATGCTCTTGCAGTGTTGGTGTATATATAATAGAGATAAAATGCTAATCATGTTTGTTGTTATTTATGGTGTTAGATTTCTTTAGATTATTTTAGCCAAATTCAGTGCATATTTTAATAGAATTATTGTCCTAGTGCAGTGCAATAAGTTAACTAATTTAATTTTATACCTTATGTGAGAAAATGAAGCAAATACACCATCATCTAATTAGTGTTTTATTTATATAGATTATGTATATTAATTTTTAAGTTGACTGAATGTATAAAATTAGTTTATTAACAGTTAAAAAAATTATTATTATTAAAATATATTAAAAATAAAAAATTTTTACTAAAAAATGACAAATATTAAATTAATTTGAAACTAACACAAAAGATTTATATCAGTGAGATATTAAATTTAATAATTAATTTTTTAAAATATTTTTTAAAGCTGTGACTATAATTTTTTTTATAAGAATTAAAATTAATATGCATTTTTCTCTTACCATAACCATAAATCTTCTAAGGTAACGTGAGAAATAGAGCCAGACAAAATTGAAGAACACGGCATTTGAATTTTTTTTTCCCCAAAAAAAAAAAAAAAAGACCAGAGATGAAATTAAACACTCCCGCCAGTCTGATTTAGAACGAAATGAAACCTTTTAATTGCCATTTTTGAGTTCTTAAATTTGGGGCTTCCTCATCAGACAATTGGCGTTTTATAATGTAAAACAATTTAAATTATAAAACATTTTTTTCGTAATAATAATAAAATTTAGTTCCAATTCCGGTTTGACCAGGGGGGATTTAATTGGCAAATTACCTCTGTTTAAGTCTCACACTCAAATTTCCCAGCAGCAAAATTGCTGAAAATGCCTTACAACTAAAATCCCAACTCTCAATGTAATATGTTCAGAGCGTATTTCCAGATATCGTTCAAGTCCCAATTGAGTACATTTGTGATTTCCATAATGAGAACGAGGCCCGTGCTGATGGGTTTCATATGATTAAGTTCCAATTCTGGGGATGCTAAGGTGGTCTTTCGAATCTAATAGTTCATTCCTAAATTTTAATGCTTGAGTTGGGTTGAT